GGTCCGATGTCTCCCTTCACCGACTTTTCTATTGTCCATCCCATCCCCTAGGGAGGAGGTTATATGTAAATCCTTGTAATCGGTTCCCCCTTTCTACCCCACCTTCCCTCCACCCTCCCAGTATAGGAGTACTGCAAGTAATTGGCCTCATCCTCCAAACTTTTAAATCCAAGGTTGATGAATGTACAAATATGGAGGACCTACTGTGTAAGATCCAATATGCTTAAGAGTAGAGATGGAAATTATCATGAAATTATCTTGAGTTGTGTAAACCAACCCTAATTTAAGCAAGTTAAATGCAAACTGTAAAAAATATTGTTTAAAGAGAAGTTCACTGTTTGCTCATAAAGCCATAACAAAAACATTTGTCTGGTACTATTCTAGAAACGTTTACTTCAAAAATTTTAAAAATATAGACCAGAAAAGATTTTTACAAAGCATTATTTTAAACTATGAAGAAACACTTCACCATTAAAAATAATTAATTAGCAGTAGTCACACTTTTTTAAAAAGATGAAACAAACTAATATATTTATCACAGTAATTTCACACCAGATTGTCCTTCAGTCCTACCAGTGAGAGAATGTATTTCAAAATACAAGCTCATCTTTTATCAATTAATATAAAAATCATTTACCACAAATGCATTCCTACAAATCTTTACATTAAAGACTTTAATGTAAAATCTTTACCAATCTTTATATCTCTTAGGAACTCCTAGGAGATTATGTCACATATAAAACTACAGAAGCTACTGCCAACATGTAGACTGACACTGTCTTATCTGTTCCTTATCGTCGTACTGATAAACTGGCTCCATCAAAATGACCTTTCTCCAGACATTTCCAGAGAACCAAAAAGAAAATGCAAATAGATCATCAGGGAGTAGCCAATTGCTTATTTAAGGCCCTTATGGGTATAAATAAATAATGTCCCGTAGGATAATGCATCATTAAAACAAATGCCAATATTTAATCCTTAAACACTATCTGCTCATTATTTTACATACCACTCTAGACCAGCTTAAATCTACAAAGGTTAGTCTGTATGACCAGTGAAAAGTGATCATTAAATAACTGACATGTACTAAAAGAATAAAGATAAGTCTCGGAGCCAAAATTTTAAATTAAACAGAGAATAAAATTTTATAGGAATCAAATATTTTCCCCATTTAAAAATAACTAATTTAAAAATGTGGATGGCCCTGATAAACAGATTAGAGTGTAATATCCTAGTAAGCAATAAAATTACTGAGTTTTGTAAATGACTATCACCTATCACATAGATAACTATATTTCATTCCTTTGGGGCTAGCATTAATTACTGGTATTGTTAGGTACGAAGAATAGGGCATGGGGCGTCCATTGCACATGCTCAGAGGTTCGAGCTTCTGGCCAGGAAGGGGTAGTACACCTAGGTGGGCGTTACACCTGGATTGGCCCATGTGGGCCAGGTGAATTCAATTCAACCAATGGGGTCGACCAGGATTGACGACCACGCCTCCCAGTGGAGGACCTGAAAACTCAAGTCTTGCAGTCACTTCTGCTTCTCAAGCTGCTCCTCAAAGGTGGTGCTGTGATCTCCTATGGCCTCAGGACGCCATGTGCAGTGGTGAAGTGCCCTGAGGTGCTTGTGTAAACCTGAAGCTTCTTTTACCTTTCATAATGTGTAGAGGGAGAGTGGGTTGAAAAGGGTCTACATGTGACTTCTTCCCTGGGGTACGGACAACATAAAAGTGGGCGAAGGGAGCCGTCGGACAGGGCAAGATATGACAAAATAATAATTTATAAATTATCAAGGGTTTATAAGGGAGGAGGGAGTAGGGAGGGAGGGGAAAAAAAGAGGACCTGATGCCGGGGGCTTAAGTGGAGAGCAAATGTTTTGAGAATGATGAGGGCAATGAATGTACAAGTGTGCTTTACACAACTGATGTATGTATGGGTTGGATAAGAGTTGTATGATCCCCTAATAAAACGATTAAAAAAAAAAGAAAACTCACTTGGATCATGAACCAGGCTTTGGCATGAATTCTTTCTCCCAGAGAGCCCGTGAGAGCCAGAGATCTAACGCTATATTTTAATATGCTTCACAACAAGGCAGAAAAACACGGAGGTATATTTGAAAGAATGTCATCTTACCAGGCCATATCATATTACAGTGAACCCTCGTTTATCGCGGTTAATCGGTTCTAGGCCCTACCGTGATAAATGAAATTCCACGAAGTAGGATTCCTTATTTGTAAATCAAATATTTTCGTAGTTAGAGCATAGAGGACATGAAAAAACACCCTTTAGTCGCCATTACACTCGTATTACCCAATTTATTAAACGAAAAAGGGAAAATACAGCAAAACATTTTGGACGTTACAATTATCTATTATTTATTATATTATTTATGGCATCAAGTGTGTACAGTATGAGCCAATCAGTGGCAGTAATGACAGAGCATGCGCTGTTACACAAAAACCGGGATAGAGTGAAGCCGCGGAAGTTGAAGCGCGAAGTGGCGAGGGTTCACTGTATATCTCCAGCTATAAATCTTTGGTGATGAGGAACTTGGAAATTTCTAAGTGTTGATGTATTCACTGAAACTGTTTTCTCGTGAACTTTTCTTTGAAAACATGAGCAGAGAGGTTTACCCTGTTCTTTGATGTATATCATTCACCACTTACTAAGACGACTTGCTGTGGGATACAAAAGGGTTTTCCCCCAGGTTGTCCCCCATATTGTATGCCAGGCCTAGGACTCTGCCTGCTAATATATGGTGGTGACTATACACTAGGAGGTCAGCTGCTCAGAGGTTATAGCCCTCAGGGTATCAGCCATGTAGAGCAATCAGACCCTATGGTCTGTCCCGTGCTATGTGAGGCCCACTCCCTGATAATATGGATAGTGGATTGATTCCCTGATGGAGAGCCCAGAGACAAGGTCAAGCCAACTCAAGGATGACCAATGTTAGGCTGCCACCTTGAATCTAGGATCCACCTATCTTGTCACATGTCCACCCCTAATACCTCTCCTTTCTACTGTATGTAACACCCCTAGCTCATCGTCTTCCTATCCCACGTATGCCTATTGGACAGCCCCTTCCTGTTACATATGTGGTTCTCTATAATTAGGGGGGCTTGCATGCCCTCTAAGTGTATATAAGCCTTGGTTAGAACTATATTCTCACTCTCTGCACAGACCTGGCTGCTAAGATCATGGCCCTTCCGGAGGTGAGCATGCTACCATGAAATGTGTCTGACTCCATTATTTTACTCACCTATTTTCTATGACTTTACTGTAAGCTTTATATTATTATAGCCGTACATTTGTGCCTACAGACCCTTCGGTTGTAAGAGGCTGGTTTCCTCTGACAACTTGCCATTACAGCTACTGTACTTGTCTATAGATAAAACACTGAACGTCTTTCAACTCCAAATCTGAGATTTGTATATTCAACAGAACCCTAGTTGTACTGTGGCTAATCAAAAGGTCAGCAGTTAGAAACCACTATTCCATGGGTGAAAGATTTGGCAATCAGCTGCTATAAAGATAGAGCACAGCAAAATGGGGCAGTTCTGTTAGGCAGTTCTCCACTGGCTATGCGGTTGAGAGAGAGTCAAAATTCACTCAAGAGTTCAGAGTCATCTATCTGATTCCAACTCACAGTGACCCTATGCAACTCAATGGCAGTGGGTTTTGTAAAATAAAACAAAAATACAAATTATAGTTTTGATAATGTTTTCAAACACAAATGTACAAATCCACAAATTTTCTACTAAAATATAAAATTATCTGGGAGATAATATTTTAACAAAGATTACATATACTTAATTTGACCTCATATATTTTAACATCACATAAAGTAGAAACCTTTAATTTTGGTGTACTTAAGAATCTATCCTAGATTTTTTTATAGCAAAAATTTCATGTGGTTTAAACTTTTGTGCTATTAAACTCATGTTATAGTCTTCCAATGAAATTTTTATTTTTAATAAAGTTATGTACTATCAAGTTAATGTTTTATTAGCCAAGTTTATTCCTTTTTGTTGATTCATCATAAAATTCAGAAATGTGGTTTGTTGTTTTGGTTATATAAACTGAAACTAGAGAGTAATAAAAACAAGAGGAAAAGATCAAAAATGACTACATTTTGAATGAGAAGTTAATGAGAAATTCACTATTACGGAATATAAAAGGTAGCATATAAGCACCACTGGGTGGAAATTTTGTCCCTTTCACCACAGGGGCTAATCGAGGAAGCAAGCAGACGATACAGAAATAGGCTTTAGATAAGAGTACATGTGTAGGGATTTGGATAACTAACCAAATCTGAATTACCAAATTGCTTCTTCTCTTTAAAAAACAAAAACCAGGGATATCAGAGTATACAGGAACAGTCTGAAAGAAGAAACATCTGGTAGAGGGCTGCACTCATTGTCCTTTACATTTTCTCACGAAGATGGAGATAAGGCAGACTAAAACTATGTCTACTACCTTTGCAGTTTTCATTTCCAGAGGGAAAATACATGACTACTAAGAGAATTTGAAATAAACACTGATATTATATTTCAAACGTAAAAAATGCCAAAAATCCCCAAACATGGAGAAAGAGAGAATGTGATAATACATTGTCTTGCTTTGTTTTCTCAATGTACAAGGGGATTCAAAAAGTTTGTGGAAACTTTTCATTACCTTTAATTCCTTTTTTTTCTTCATGAACATTTACAAACCCTCTCACATAAAAAGAATAAATTGACATAGTAATGATTATGATACATTTTTTTCAATAAATCTACCATTAGAATTTTGTCATCTTTAAATGCTATAAAATCTCTAAGAAAATAATTGCACTTAAAATTCCCAAAAAATTTTTTTCTATTAGCAAAATAAAATAGCTTAGAGGGGGAAAAGACAACAAAATTATCAATAATGCATTTTTCAATGTTACCAATGTACTAAACTTTACCAAAATTGGTCCTGAATGTTTGTCTGTTTACATCACTGACAACTTACCAGGTGACTCTCCTCCGACATCTAAGGGCTGGGCAGGGTCTACTGAAGAGACCACACTGACAGCATTGGTGGGCATACTTGAACTTGGTGTGGGAGACAAGACTGACGATTTTTTTGTTGCAATTATGACACTTCTGTAATGAAAAAGGAAAATAAATTTTTAAAAATACAAATGATCACTCAGGTTAATTAATTATATGCACTTCCCAACAGAAAACAGAAATAAATTTCTTTTTCAAACTTTCTTTTCTCTATTACAACATACAATTTAAAATTTGTGGAATATTCTCAATTGAAGATCAATGATCAATTATCATCATTTCAAGTTTTAGAATGAAGACAATACACTTTGATACAAATTTTTTTTTTTCATTTGGAACTGTCTTTGTTCAACTTAAACTGTGTATAACCAAAGAGTTGTGTGTATATATGTGTGTGACTACATACACACACACACACACACACATATTGATGTGAAACATTGTAGCACTCAAGTGGAAAAACAATTAACTTTTTCTTAATCTCAGATTTGAAATAGAAAATCCAATATTTATCTAAAATATTTAAAGGAATTCTAACATGAAATCATAAAAACTTAGAAATCCTATAAAGCAACAATACCGATATTAAAAATTTTAAAACATGTATACAACCCAAATCTTTCAGTAACTTCACAAAAATGATATTTTTTGAAAGATACTATATAGAAAAACAATGCATAAGTATAAAAACTACTAGAAGCAAAAGTATCAAATGAAAGTTGTACATCATATATATTATTCAAACACAGGTATTTATGAAATACCAATTTTCAATTAAAGTGTAATACTTTATGCCAAAATAGTACCTAAAAGACCTTGTTAGGCATACCTTAAAGACATTCTTAATTGAAGTTAGTCCCATAAACATGCAAAAAAAAACCTTAATGAGGTAAAGAGGACAGCTGATATATAATGCACTCCCACAGCAGTGCTTACTTTTAATTACCTGGTGTTAACCATAAGACTAAAGTCTTCAACATTCAATTTATTTAATCACATCTTTTGTTGACAATATTGTTTAACTGCAAGCAGCAAGTATTCCCTCAGCAGCTTTAAAGTATTCAGTTTCTAAATAAAGTTAGTTAGATACATGATCCGAATAAATATATTTAAAAATGAAAATTATGTATTTCTAACACTTTTAGAAAACTGTTTTCATTATTTCAGAAAGAGATAACACAATCCAAATGTGTTTCGTTTTACTCCAGTGCTTTATCACGTGAGGGCAAACAGTGTTGCCAATTAAATCAAGTTCTCTTGTGCTAGGAATGGTTTATTCAATGTACTTGGAGGTAGCTGGTGTCACATCATTATAAGGGTGACTGCCAATGTTAACTATATACTAAAAAATAGAAGCAACAGCCACCTGAGCCCCCAATCCAAAACTATGCGCTTAAATCATGGCAGCTTATATCAGATGAAGATTATTGACTTTAGAGAGAGTAGATATGACCTCTGAGTGTGTGTGTATGTGTAAGCTGCATGTGCATGCTCGAGGGGATGAGGGCAGGATAATTACTTTGGGCAAAAAATTGATGAACCCATTGTTTAAGAAAACCCTATTTCCCATTTACTTCTTTTGAGGGGGAGAGGGAGTGTTAAGACAGCAAAGTGCAGATATGGTGAATTTACACTCACATTTGATCACAAAAAAAAGGAAACAGCAATATCTAGTTTATACATATAATAGGTAAATACAGTAAGAGCAAAATAAAGGATAATATTTCAAAATGTAATACTGCTTTTTCTATATTTAAAATTTATGACACATACACACCTACCTTTTATGACCTAACAATTCGACCCCTAGCTATTTACCCAAGAAAATAGATATTCACAAAAACATTTGTCTAATAATGATCTTAGAAGCTTTACTTATGATAGCCCCCAAATGGTAAAAGCCCAGCTACCCTTCAAACAGGAAAATAAGCAAATGGTTTGGGGGAAGTGGCAAAAGAGCTCTCAAGAGTGCTTTTACCTTGTATGTTTACTTTAAAATAGTTTATTATATTTTTTGTAATGTTTAACAAAGTAAACAATTCAACAATTTTTTTCAACAATTTCTATACATAATATTCAAGGGTTGATTTTATCTCAGTGGGAGTTTTTGATTATAGAGGTTATCAGAATTTGTCAAAACTATCAAAAGTACACATAAGAGAAGTGTCTTTCATTTTATGTCTATTTTACAATAAAAGGAAAAAAGTATAAATCTCTAAACAGCTCTACACATTCAAGTGTTCTAGATGAAGTGTGCTGATGCCTACAACTTTGAAATGCATCCAAAAATAAATAACATTGACTGACAGAGGATGGACAGATGAAGTGTTATATAAAGAGATATAAAGCAAATGTAGTAAAGGGTTAAGTTTAGATTTTACAGTGAGGGGTACACTGCAATTATTTCAATTTCTCTGTATAAAGATTTTCATAATACAATGAGAAAACCAAATAAAAACCACACCAAGCTCACTGCTATGGAGTAGACGTGACTAATGGTTACCCTATAGCACCAGTTCTCAACAACCCTTGGATTGAATGACCCTTTCACAGGGGTCATAACAGTAGCAAAATTACAGTCATGAAGTAGCAAGGAAAATAATTTTATGGTTGAGGGTCACCACATCATGAGGAACTGTAAAGGATCTTGGTATTAGAAAGGTTGAGAACCACTGCCCTAAAACTGGCCCTATGGGTTTCTGAGACTAATTCTTTTTTTTCTTTACCTTGTGTAATTTTATTTTTTAAAATCATTTTATTAAAGGCTCATACAACTCTTATCACAATCCACACATACATCAACTATGTAAAGCACATTTGTACATTCATTGCCCTCATCATTCTCAAAACATCTGCTCTCCACTTCAAGGTCCTGGCATCAGCTCTATTCAATTCTAAGGCACAGAGCTAAAGTTATTTTCTGAAATTACTTGGTCAAACTGTCCTACAGATGGAGATGAGTGTGCAAACCGCCTCTGTGCCCAACTGTTTCCTCACATGAACTTCTTTTTGCCTAATTTACTGAGATATAATCCATACCTGATACAATTTAGCCATTTAACATACAGAATTAAATAATATTTGTTGTCAATTAGTTAATTCTGACTTAGCGTAATTAGGGACAAGTAGAACACCCCACAGGATTTCCAAGGCTGTTAAGTGGATGGTAGACAAGTTCTCTTTCTTTGGTCCTGTTAGGATGTTTTTGGGAAAAGGGCCCAATCAAAGCAATGGCTTACAAGAGGGATATGCTCAGCCAGTTTAATTCAAGGCTTAGAAGGTTATGTATGGTGACTCTTTGGGGAGCCTCCAAAGGGTAATATTTATTGATTTTCTTGAAGGACACAGAAAGATCATGAGGTTTATTATCAAGAAATTTTAAGAAAATGGAAACAGTAAAAAAAAAAAAAAAAGACAAGCTACACAAAAGAAAGTTCCCCCGTCACAACACACATGCTCATTCTTTGAGTAGCAAGGGCGGTCTTATGAGAATTTCAATGAGAAACATGAGCCCATTCAATGTACAGCCCTTACCTTACCCCTTCTGGCTTCATTCTTTCCCCAAACTCACAAAAGTCAATTCTGACTTGAACCTACCAATGTAATAGACTAGCACTGCTGATGTGGGTTTCCAAGGCTGTAAATCTTTACAGGAATAGAGAGCCTCATCTTACTCCCGCAGAGCAATTGGCGATTCCAACTGCTGACCTTGCAGCTAGCAGAGCTGAGTGTAATGCAACCAGGGCTCCTTAGAAACACCTCCTTCAGAAGTGTATAGACCTAAGCAGCAGACATATTGAGAAACAAGAGCTTCACGTTTTGATTTTATGTTTAATAAAAATACGGTTCTGTAGCAATATTTTTTTACTTACTCTAGCATTTTACAAATGAAAACAGCTTCATTATCTAGCTATATAATTCTAGATAAGAGCGAAAAAGGAACCCAGGAAACCATAAGTGGCAGCTCTACTCTGTCCTACAGGGTCACTATGATTCGAATCAGCACAATAGTAATGGGTTGGGTTTGGGGTTAGTGAAAGATACTTCCAAATCCACTGACAAATTCTAATACGTTACGAGGAACGCTCATAACACTGTATAGCGATAGTTCACATCAGAACACAGAAAACACAAACAGAAACTGAAAGGACTTCAAACAATAGGCAGTGTGGGTGTTATTTTCATTCCTTTCACAAACTATTTTCATAATTACAAAGTTAAGGAACAAAAGACTAAACTCTCCGACAAAAAGGACCTTTCGCCTATTGTGTAGACAATAGGAGTAAATCTAAAATGGCAAACATATATTGGTTGAAAAAAATAATATAGAATTTAAATACATATTTTAGTTCAGCCTGGTGGTGCTTACAGGGCCAGCGATAGACGGCTAACATCAAGGTCAGCAGTTCAAACCCAACAGACACTCTGTGGAAGACAGATGAGGCTTCTGTAAAGATATACAGCCTTGTAAACTGTATAGGGAGACGATGAGCCAGAGTCAACTGGATGGCAGTGAGCGGCTATATGCAAAGACTGAGCATCTCACATATAGTATAAAATACTTTGTTTGGAAAATGCAACACTCATTCAAGAAAACTTTGAACTAGATGGCAGGAATATGCTAGGGATATTTCTGACATTTGTCAGACGTATTTAGGAACCAAAGCTGAAATCATTTATCATATTTGAAAAACAAATATCTGGGTTTTTGATATGTCATAAATTTTCACAAAACCACTTCAATTTTCACCCCCAAGAATGTGGTAGACAGATAACCAGTGATGTAAGCTCATTTTCCAAACGTAAACTCAGAATCTTATTTCATTTAATATTTATAACCACTGAGTTAAGTGCTATCAGTTGTCATCCCCTTTTCATACGTGAGGAAAGGAGGTCAAGTAAAAACTGTGATCTTTATTTCTTTCCAACTACGGTGATTTTTTTGTTTTGTTTTGAAATTTTATTTATTAACAAATAGCAACAGTCCTTGAAACGACTGAGGCTCGGAAGTTCTATTTCAGTATTCTATCAGTTTCAAGCTGCTTCGTCATAAGCCTTCACAAAAATGCTATTTTATTTAATGTGCCAACAGT